ACTCATCGATCTTGCGATAAAATTTCGCACGTTGAACAACAAATGAAACGTGGTCAAGTGGAATTTTGACTTTTGTTGTAGATTTATAACGGAAACCTATTCGATGAAGATTACGACGAAGAGTTGTTTTAGATTGGATTGGAAAATCATCATGAGCAGCGTGCAATCTTTCAAGAATATTTGTTGTTGTTGGATAAATTTTTTCACTCAACAATAGCTGGAATTGATATCTGATCTCACTATCAGCTTGTTCGGATAAGTGCACAGATGATCGACCTACTCGTTGATTTGGGGGCTGGGGATCAGGAAGTACATTCGTCATCAGTGCTGATGCTGCAGAAGAAGATCGTGGTTTTTGTTTTAATGGTCTTCGTGCTTTCGATTGTGAACGAAGATGATGTGGTTGGAGTTCTTCCTGAGCAACTTGTAACATTCTCATCTCGTTCTTCAAGCGTAACAAAGAAGTCTCTGAGATTCCAAGCATAGCCACAAGTCGAGCATTGCAGTTATTAAGAGGAATCAGTGGTCCATCTTTTTCATTTTCAACAAATGTAATAATACAAAACAAAACTTTCTTCAGTTCAGTTGAGAAATAAATACCTCGTGGCATTATAGTACTACACGAAGCAAAAGAAATGAATGGAATAATATTCGATCAAGCAAAGAGTGTATGTGTATGAAAACAAGTATAACCTGATCCTCTGCAATTATTCGCTGATCTCAGCAACAAATAAGTCAAAAGTAAGAGTCTCCACTCTAAATGAATATAAATATTTCATCAGAAACTGTCTTTTTACGACCTCTATATAGTAGCAAACACAATTAATACCTCATACGTGATGAAAAAAATGTTTATATATATATATATCGTAGCACTCAATGTAATAATGGTATGTTTTAGTAGAATATTTAATTATATTGAGATATGTATCTCGATGTAAAAATTGTCTTTACAGAATGTGATAAATCGTAGAACTTCTATACGTAGAAAATCTAGAAATATTCATAAAATTTAATAATCACTTGTTTGCTTCTCATATTTTGCATTTTTTATTTTTATGTCCGAATGAAATTTTTTTAAAACACGTTTCTGAACTCCAGTATTCATGATCATTTATCGACTAAGTCATCGCTTTGGTAGAGCTTGTAATTTCCGAATGCATTCTAGGTGATCCTGTGGTAATGATTGTTTTCAGCTCAGAGTAATACTCATTATTATAGAGCATCCGATGCTCGATGCAGCTTGATGACGATAAGAAAACAAGAAGCTAGCTATTTGAGCTTAGCATAGAAGTATAGATTTGACATTTCTCTATCTAATGGGAATATCAAAATCAAAAATATATTTTAGTGGCATGCCGTTTCCCTGGGTTCTAAGATAAGATTCCTAAAAATGACAGTGTTCAAAATGACTTTGTCTCAAACAATATTATTCAAAAAAAACATCACAGGATCTCCTCTTTCTATTGCTGAAAACTGCAAATGGCTAGCTATTGTGGTTGTCGAGTTATTGCGTTTACACCCACCCTTCTCTCATGATGACGCGAGCATTAGATATCTTGATATTTATAAGTATACATGTTTTACTAAAGTATTTTTTTTCTGCTCTAGAAATACTGTTTTATAGTAGGCACAGCGCTAACGTGTGCAGCGACTAATTCGATTTAGAAAAGTACATTACTTTTCGTTTAAGTTAACAGGAAGAAGTAATTTCTTGTGGCAATCATCAAAAGGACATTTTACTGATGTTTGTGATCGATGACAAAAAAATGATTGAAACAAAGTACATGATTACAATGACTGCAGCGAATAAAAGAAAAATCATTGCAATGTTGGCATAGAACAAAATACTTCATCAAAAGAAGAACAAGCTTCCTATATATTTTCAAATTGACCAGCATCATTCTGTGAATAGCCACTTGAATACCAACTGTATCTGATCATAGCTGAAAATTTTCTTGCTGCCAGTTGATTGTGAATCAAAGAGTGCATTTTTGACACACTATTTCTAGAAGTAATATCAATGTCAATTCGATCAATAGCTGTACGATCGCATATCCTTTGCTTGAAATATTTCCTTTGTCGAAAAAAATATCGATCTAATGGTTGTATATCACCTGTTGTCTTTGGTGGGATTTGTAATTGTTCATATTTTATATTTCCAGTAAATATTTCATTGTAAATGCTGGGATCTGTTTGACCGAACCAGGAATCTAGTAACAATAAACAATCATCAGCTACTAATGGATATAGCACTTTGCCAGCCCAATACTGAATATGCGATTGGGTTAATTTCCCGGACTCGCTGCATGTAATGTGAATGTTACTAGCGTGATAAATTGACTTTTGAATTCGTGGTCCCAATCTCCCTGTAGGTTCTTGTAAACATATAAAAACAGAACCAACTAATTCCCCAATCATATTAATAATTGGCATAATGGTGTATGAATGTGTTACAGCATTCATCGACTTTACCCACACCATGGTTGCTTTTTCACCGGTTGTTGTGAGAGTTCTTGTTGATGGATTTTCATAATTAAAAGATTAAGAAAGATCTCCTTTCTTGTTCATATTCTTCCAAAGCTATTTCGTTTGATGAATCTTGGCAACCTAAATCTCCGCTACATTACAAACAAGACTTGACTGCACGGAAGTAGGTCCTCTCGAAGATTACGTAGTAAAACTTGTCTATTGAAACTATCCAAAAACTTAATCACAGAATATCAGAAAATAGCATGGCATACATAAGTAACTAGTAAGCATCATGTTGAGAATAAAATGAAGCTCCTCTGCATCATCAATAGAGAATTATAACTCATTACTATAAAAATCACGTTTAACCACGGTTTAAAAAACTTACTTGAAACTGCTTTGATCACTATTCCATATATGATCTGCAGCATAATTTAGAAATCTATCTTTCCCTTTGTTTGCAAAATCTTCGGCAGACTTTAATATTTTATCACGGTCTTCTAAATTATGTTTTGTTACTAGCTTTGCTATTTTTCTTGACGAGATCTGATGACGACGTTTGAAGTCTAATATCCAATGATGAGATGCCGTAAAATCATTCAAATTTAAGCTGTGTGCTTTTTTAAAAGCCAATCGTCTTATATCGGAATCATGTACGAGCAGAGATGATTCTCTAGCACGAAGAAATTCCACATAGACACATTCATCAATGCGTTGAAGTTTTTGAATTTTTGTGCCTTGAGAATCAACATATCTTTTTATGTGGCGTAATTGTTCTTTATATTTTATATTTTTGTAACGGTTACGTAACGATAAGAAAGTATGAGTTTTTGAGTATTCAACTATTGAACACATTGTATCATAATATTTCACACCATCGATGCAAGTTAAATCTTCATCGTTGTCTTTCTCTTGATATTCATCATGATCATCGCCATTGTAATAATCGAAATCTAATGTTACAATGTTGTCGACTGATAATTCTGCTGAATTTAATAGTTGATCAAATAATATAAACAAATGATCCGCTAACTCATGATCCTTAAATGTTGGGTCGTTATGAATGGATTCCGGGTATTTTCGGCGTATCAGATTCTTGAATAAGATTAGGACATTGTAAATATTTATCATTTTTCTTGAAAGCGCGATTAAACCGTTGAATTGTTTAGTATGAGTTGATAGAAATGAATAGACAACACTTCTATCTACAAAGTTTTACATACGCAACAGAAAAATCTAACAAAACATAACAAAAAGATATGATTTGTTACTATATAGTCATCTGAATGTATGAGTAGAATGGCATGGCAAAAGAGCGAAGAAAAGTCAGCTCGTCCGCAAGACTAGATACGCATATTTTAATTGTTTTGCATACATGGGTTTCTATAAACTAGACCGACATCCTTTTTTTCTTTAGTCATCTATTTTGTCACTGTCACTCATACAAATATCCCCATTCATCAGACAGAAAATACGTGTGTTACAGTGTTACTTAGTTATATCAGGTATTTTCCTTTCCCTTTTCTCTGTTCTTCTGTTTTCCTATCGTACATAGATAACACGCAAGATACATATATATGTTTTTTTCTTTCCTTCTCTTCTCCTAAGATGGTATAGGTTTTTTCGATCACATCATGTTTTCTTCCAAGTGTAATTAGGTTTTCTCCTATTTGGATCATATATATGTTGTTGTCGTTTAAAAAATAAAACAGAGAAAGATTTACTATTGATCTAAAAGATCAAACCTCCCGTTAACAACGTGTGCCACAGAAAATATCTTACAATTGATATTCTCTTCTTTGCTACGACGCGTCTTCATTACTTTTTCTTCTGGCATGTGAATGATCCTCCTTTTTCTCCTATCCTTCTTTTTTCAAAACAGTCTTCTACCTATGTATATGGCTAATATGTTTCCCGTTTCATTTCTTCCGAAAGAAGTATGACAGGAGCAGTGAATAGGAGCCAAATGATTAGATTACGTTTAATTTTTAAAGAGGGAAATGGTTTTGAAAAAAAAAGGACAGGAGGAAAAGGAGGATCGTTCACATGCCAGCTTTTTCTTTTACACCCACTACGTTTTCTCATAGTCGATATAGGTTGAGTGATTTCTGAATTGAACCTTACGCTGCGCACGCCGACATTATGCATCATCTAATGGAACATTGAATTCTAGATAGATTCATTTCAACATAAGTTTATCGGAAAAAGTTCATTCATATCTCTTATTTGTCATTTAATTGTCGATTCGTGGTAAGTTAAATGAAAATTCTGTTCTATTAGTAGTTTGATGATCGATAGAGAATCACATCATTCAGTTCATGTAATTCTCCGCATATCCGTCGATAGAGCTCTTGCAATGCTATAAAACCATGCATTTTCTAAACTCCTAAAATATTCGTAATTTACAAACTTCCTGAAAGACTAATGTGTAGATATTATTTTCTACTTTTTTTGACATATAATTCGCAACTTTCGGTGAAACAAACACAGCATGAGTGAAAACCAATAACATATTTGGAATCACCATTAAAAATGGAGCCGACTTGTCAGTATTTTTATTCTTTTTGTGAACTTTTATTAGTCAAAAGAAAATTCACCTGT